AAATTGATTTAAATTAGAAACAATAATTGAAACACATTAAATAATTGAAACTGCACAATCAATACAATCGAATCAATTGTTCGAAAATCATCTAAATTAAGTTTTACTGTAATAATATTATCATTTAATATTTTTTCTGTATTTATATTTTAATAGTTATCATCATAAAATTGATTTAAATTAGGAACAATTTTTATTTGTTTTCCAAAAATCATTTTTTAATAAAACATAATACATTAAATAATTTATTATGCTATTTTCGATAATTTAATCGAATATTTAGCTGGTTTCTATTACAATAAACCTATTTAAAAATCCCGTAGTGACAAATTCTAAATTACTCCTTCTCTACCTGCTTTGTCCGTCGTGATTACTCCGGCCCCTTAGCCTTGCGCAGGGTTTCAAAGTAAACCAACCCGACCTTCCCCGACTTCGAGCTAGCCATCCTTCTTTAATTTTCATTTAAAAAGATCACTAGTATACTTGTCATAAGTAAACCCCCTACCTAATTTGAAAGCGGTTCAAAATAGATATTGACGCATCTAAGAGCTAAAGTGCAGGAGAGCAATATTGTTAACAATAAAATTTGCTATAACTTTTATTATAAAAGTTTTTTTGTAAGACGCTGTGATTCCGAATTGTTACCTTTAATAACTTAAAAAAGCAACAAATTCATCAAATTTTCATATTTTCGTACTTTTCTCGATATTGACGCATATAACAGCTAAAGTGAAAGAAACCAATATTGTTAACAATAAAATTTCCAACAAAATTTGTTATAAAAGTTTTCTTATAGCAAGCTCCGATTCCCAAGTGTTACCTTTAATAACTTGAAAGAGTAACAAATTCATAAAATTTTCATATTTTCGTATTTATCACGATATTGACGTATCTAAGAGCTAAAATGCGAGAGCAATATTGTTAACAATAAAATTTGTTACAACTTTTATTGCAAAAGTTTTGTTGTAAGACGCAGCGATTCCCGAGTATTACCTTTTCTCAGCATTGAGTGTGTGAGTTATATATTTTTATCTTTTTCTTGTCAACAATGAATTGCTCCAATTGCCAAAAGGCGATCACTTCGGAGTCGTCCACGACGCGGTGCGACTCGTGTCAGGGCCGCCTGCACGTTCATTGTGTCGGTTTCACGGAGCGTGATTTTGTTACGACGCGCCAGAAGTCGAAATCCATCAAATTCGTCTGTAATTCCTGTAACGGGAATATGTCCCAGCATAAAAATATACAAGCTTTATTGTCAGCAATGAAAGCTGAATTCGCGGCGTTGGTTGACAAGCTGCGTGAGGACTTCTGCGAGCAGTTGCGGAGTTTGCGTGAGGATCTTGCCGTCCAGCGGTCGAGTGATTCTGACGAAAGCATTTTCGAAGAGGTACATCAGGAATTGGTTGATCGCCAGAGCCGCAAAAAGAATCTTATTGTGTTCGGTGTTTCCGAACCGGTTCCTTCCGATGGCCAATCACCGGCAGCTTCTGATCATGCTACTGTGACTAACATTACCAAATATATTATTCCTACGAATGCTGATACGTTTAAGGTTACTAGACTGGGTCGTTTTAATCCAGCTAACGATAGGGGTCGTCCAATTAAAGTTGTCTTTGATTCGGACGAATGTGTGATCCGTTATATTCGTGAGGCTAAAAAGCTTAAGAACTTTCCTGCTTACTCAAATTTAAGAATTAGTTACGATCGAACTCCTAGACAGATAAAATATTACAATCAGCTCAAGCTTCAGTTGGAGCAGCGTACTGCTAACAGTGAACCTGATCTCCGAATACGCTATACCAATGGCACCCCGAAAATCGTAAAAAATATTTTAAACTGAATATACCAGTCTTGTATCTTGTCTTGTTATTACCAAAATGTCAGAG